CAGCGGCTCTGGAGAGCTTTTCCCAACCCGCTTTGATGGCTTTCAACCCGGGGCAGACGGTGGCGGGGCTGGAGCGCGGTGCTGCTACAAGCTACCCTTTATGCGGGCACAGAACCGGTTTGTTTTAGGCAGCTCCCCCGGGTGCGAGGAGGGCGATGGAGCCCCCGGCAAGGCCTTCCTCTGCTCCCCGCGCTGCCCTCTGCTGCCACTTTGCCAACCATGGTGTGTCCCCTCCCTGCTGGCCTGTCCCCGTCGTCGCTCCGACACCATCCTGCTTTGGCTCTAGGGACATCTTCTCCGGGGGCAGGAGGGCATAAATCTGCCACGGCAGGTCGGGCAGAGCTGGCCCATCACGATGGAGATGCCAAGGGCTTTTTTCCTGGGTGTCCCATGGGGACGAGGGGGATGGTGGAGGGTCAGGGTCATGGGCGAGCACGCTGCCCTGCGCCACGTGTTCCCCATCTATCCGCTGTCTAAGGCCATCCCGGGCGAGGTGTAAATCTCCCTGTACTCACAAACAGCATTAGGGGATTACCTGGGCTGGATGGGAGGGGATCTCCCAACCCACCGCCCCTCAGCATGGCACAGGGCTGACCTTGGAGCCCCCATCCCACCAGCAGTGTCTCCCACCATCCTGCCATGCCGTGTACCCTAAAAGGCTCTGCCACAGTGCGTGACCCTGCTGGGCTGGTGGCACCCCCTGGACAGGGCCACATGGTGCCCGAACCACCCCGAAGCCCCAGCTAATCCCAGTGCCCACAGCACCCCAGCTCCACTTTTACCTCCCAGCACCTCCTAAGACGCTTTGAGGATGATGCCCAGTGCAGCCTCTCCCCATCTGCTCCCTGGTTGGTGGCTGTGGGATGTCCCCAGGCACTGGGACGGGGACCTGCCCATCACCAGTGGGACGGGGTCTGTGTTACCAGCCCTGGGCTGGGCAGCTGGTGTCAGATCCCAAGCAGCAGGATGGGAAGGTGAGGAGCCGGTGTGCGTCCCTGTAGCGTGGAGCCCCCCAAACTCACAGAACGTTGTCCGCCTGGTTTTTCCACCAAGGTCCATCACACACTGCAGCCACCATCCTCCTTTTTCACCACGTCCGGGTGAGCTTGGGGCCGCCCACGCTGGGATGCCCAAGGACCCAGCCAGTTTTGTGGGATTTTTAGCGGAGCCAGTGAGGGGGGGGATGTTTCGGGCTTATCTCCAAGAGAAACGTTTATGTTAGGGGAGGGCAGGACGGGGGAGAAGAAAAGCATCATTCATCAGCGTTAGGGACAAGGGAAATCGTATTAGAGGCGGCCGTGGTGATTGCAGATAACAGCCGCTCTTGCCAGATTACTCAAACTTTAATACAGACTGGGAAAGCCCTGAACAACCAGTGCCTCGCTCCCCACTATGGAAATAAAACCCTCACCCATTTCAGGAGAGCCCAAAACTTTCCTCTCGCCCAACATCTGGAGGTCCAGCACCCCGCAAGGGGAAGGAACATTTGTGGGGTGTCCCCTACCCCACCAGACCCCCTTTCCCATCCCATCTCCGACTCACTTTTCGTAGTCGACGTTATCCTTGTCGCAGCGCGTGTCCTTGTGCTTCTCCCAGTCCTTGCCGTGCTTGCAGGTGGTGAGCGAGACGATGTCCTTCCCATTGTGGATGTGGTGCAGCGCGTTCCTGGTGCTGGAGCCGATGCCGGTCAGGTACCGCTTCCCCTTGAACACCAACAAGTATTTCTTTTTTGGGGGGATCGAGTCCTGATACAACCACCCCTTCTCCCCGCCACGCTGCGGGAGGTCCTTGGAGAAGAGAGGGATGGAGATGTCAAAGCCGGGCCTGAAGCTCTCGGTGTAGAAGCTGGCTTTGGCCAGGATGGCCTGGCCAATGTCAAAGCCCAAGTCCTCGGTGTAATTGGGCCAAGTGCCTGAGTAGAGGTTGAAGATGAGGTGGTTACGACCACCGTTCCAGAGCGGGAAATTGCGGATTTTCTCATCGACATTACGGACATATTGACCCGAGAGGTGGTCGCGGTCCAGCGTGTCGATGCTGAGGATGAAGAGGCAGGCTTCCTCGGGGTTCGGGGTGTAGTAGCGAGAGCGCTCGATGGAGGTGAGGATTTTGCCGTAACTCTCCGAGAGGGGCTGGTCCCTCTCCTGGGGGTAGGTGAAGACTTTGAAGCCATGCTTCTCGCACCTGGAGAAGTCGAAGCAGGTTTCCATCCGGCATCTGCTGTTCTTGTAGACGCTCAGCCATGCCGCCCCTGGGGGTAGGTGAAGACTTTGAAGCCATGCTTCTCGCACCTGGAGAAGTCGAAGCAGGTTTCCATCCGGCATCTGCTGTTCTTGTAGACGCTCAGCCATGCCGCCCAAAAAAAGCGAGGGGTCCCCATCCCTCTGAAGCTCCTCGAGGTCTGCAAAGCTTTTGAGGAGGGACCGATCCGTCCAGCGGGGCCAGTTCCTCCGGGCTTCAGCTTTCCTCCCGGAAAAGAAAGCGAAACGGCGCAGCTGGTCTCCTCCAAAGAAGAAAAGCAGGAGCCAAGAGGCAAGGAAAGTCAGGAAAATGTATTTCTTCCTGGTCTGCATAGGTTCACATGCAGCCCCGGCTCCTCATCGGGCTCGGATGGGCGCCGG